TAATCGACAAACAATACACGGGGTCACAAAATGCAACAAGAAAAGATGTGGGGTTTGTGATATCATTATAGAAGGAAACTCCTACACTTCTGAAAACCCTACAGCAACATTCACAATAAAGAAAAACGCAAACTGCAACTCCAAAAATTAGATTTATTCACTCAAGTGCACAAAATGCAAGGAATTCTATATAGGTATCACGTAAGCACTAAACAACAGGGTTTCTCTTCAGAAAAGCAAGATTAAATTACCAAACATCAGGAAACTCTTTGTGTCACAACACATCCACAAATGCAACAAAGGTAAATTTAAAATTATGCCAATTTATCAAACAGAAAATTACTCTTACTACAAATACATGAAAAACTTCATAGACAAATTTCAACCACCACTAAACAAATCATAACCCCCGACACATAAACTCACACCATACAGGCATAGTTGCAAAATACACTAGTCAGACAACACGCGCGCGTGCACACACACACGCACACACACACACAGACACAAACACATGCACACACACGCACATGCACACATACGCACCATACAAAATACATGCAGCTACTGTATAGATTTCTTTATAATGATATAATATATAGTATATATGTATGGAGAACGAGTATATACACACAGATAGGCAAAAACAAAACCCCAGACGGATCACACACACACGCGCGCGCGCGCGCACACACACACACACACACGAACCATAAACACCATAACAAGTGTGTGTATATATACTATTTCCATGTAATAAAACAAAATATATGCATGGAGAAGGAATATATATATATATATATATATATATATATATATATATATATATATATATATATATATATATATACTAGCAAAACACACACACTACACAAAAATGGAGAAAGGTAAAAATGGAGAAAGGTTTAAAAAAAAGATACAGAGGACATAAAAAGATAAAAACAAAGACCACATTCCTTCTCCTTTCTCTGACCAATTTTATTACACTTAAGCAAAGGAAGATTTTCTCGCCAGTTCAAGAAGAATACTACTACACACAAAAGACAACGGTTAAGCATGAGAAAACATACGCAAAAATTATTTACTTTAAATAATATGTGGATATAACCATTTCTTCGCCTGAAGAAAGTCACAAGCCCGAAGCCCGTGGAGCAAAAAGTATGGAAAATAGCGTACAATATATATATATATATATATATATATATATATATATATATATATATATATATATATATATATATGTTCCACATTATAACCAAAAACGTTTGCGGCTTCTCGTTTCTTTTTAAAATATACACTTTTCTTTCGCTGGAACAACTATAATCTCTCCCTTATATATATATATATTCCGAAAAGGAATATTGGAAGAAATTGTAACATATCGAATTTATGAACGTGAAGAATTTGATAAAGGAATGAAGGAATGGAATTATTTCCAACTGTCGGTACGCAGATGCAAAAGAACACGAAAAGAACAATAAATTTCTTGGACTCAATCACTTATTTTAAACATCGCTCAGTATGTAACAGCTCGGTAAATAAGTGAATAAAGTAAATGTGCTATCACGCATTCACACACGCACGCACGCACACACACACACAGACACACACACACATATATATAGGTTAATGAAAAGTTCTCGGTCTGACTAAGACTTTAAAAAATGTGGTTGGTGAGATTTTTTTTTAGTTCGAATTTGGCCAATCGCATTCATATCTACAATTACAAGAATGGGAACTATAAACTGAGACCTTCCACTGCACTTCATAATTATTTTTCTTTAGTAAATGCTTCAAATTATCTGTGCAGCTTTAACTCATTTTTCCAGTGTCTCTGTTTAATATTTTATTCATTATCTTTCCTTTTGGGAAATCTTTACACATGCAATGAATTAATAATCTCCCTACTCTAGTTTTTAATGTGTAATTGATTGGTGAATTAAACAAGATTACATAAATCTTTTCCTTCTTCTACGTTTGTTTTTCTCCTTCTCATGAATATATGATAGCTTGAAATGGTGCCCATTACTTTTTAGTGTCCTTTCATAATCATTTTTGAATTATTGAAGATTAAGCTATTACAGAAACTTACAGACAATCTGTTACGTATTGATTGGACCCCTGCCCAGAGACAAATTATTAGAGGCAATATTTATGTAACATGGGAGACTTCCTGGCTGTCTATAATTTGTTGGCTTACGGCCATATCTCGTTGAAACACCGGTTCTCGTACGATCACAGAAGTTAAGCAACGTTGAAACTGGTCAGTACCTAGATGGGTAACAATTAGGTGATACCAAGTGCTGTAAGCTTCGATGTGCGTGTGGTGTAATGCAAAACGTCTCGGAATTGGAAATCGGAGAGCAGAGTTCCAATTCCATTCGGGTTCGTTATATACATTTACGCGCAAATAAATTTGGGAAAGGTATGAATCCTTATCTTCTCGCCCGCTAGCTATGTGTTAATTAGTTGTAATTTATTATTATCTCAAAAATTCTTACAATCTAAAAATATTTTATGTCTTTAAATAACCTGCAAAAGGTGGATAGGCCATAAAAACAAAACCATAAATGAATCATTATATATGATGTTATGCACGCCCAGTTCACTGTTTCCGCCTCCACTCAAAATTTTTATTAATTTTTATTTTTATTTAATAGAAGTAGATAGGTCAGCCTATCGCCTGCTTCACACTCCTCCCCCGTTTTTGGACAGGAGTCGAAGTTTCCGGTTTAGGATTGGGTTTATATATACGCGCCGTTTGTAATGACTAATGTCCCAAACGCTTTTGCTAAATTCATTAACCTTTTTCAAAGGGTTCGTTGCGTATACGTTTTTCATGATTGTTGGTGTCCTCTAAAAGACAGACAACACATTACTAACATTGTCGAGTAAAGTAAAGTTGAGGTTTGGCTTAATGCTTTATACTACAAAACCTTTTAATTCTCTTAAGACGTCGTTTATAATTAGATTTGTTTAGAATGATATCACCAAAAATTCTCTAATGTGGACAGGCAGTTGTGTGTGTGTGTGTGTGTTCAACTGATTTTTATGCCACTTAAATGTTTTGTCAGTCTTCTACTTATCATTGTAGACATGGGCACCCAGACATGGTGTAATGGTTAGCTAGTTAGTCTCCCTAGAACAATTACGACAGAGTAGTGGGTTCCATTTTCACTGGGTACCCCATGCTATATGCCTTGTGCCACATCTAATCTACACTTCGAAAATCACCATAATCTATGTTGCCGTTAGGTTTATTTCAAGAGCCAGAGTTTTTTACTGGATAAGTACAATGATATATATTCAAGATATCTCTCACGATTTCACGGTACCTGAGTATAAGCAGGAATATATATAATTTTTTATTTAAATTTATTTTTTTTTCTAATATTTTATATTTATTTATATACTCCTTAAATTAAAATAGAATAATTAAATACAAATGTGTCGAAATTGTTCTTCTATGTGTCACTTGGCGATTATGGCTCTTTACAACTTCCTGTCTTTGTAGCTCTTAGTAAATTTAGTCTTTCTGTTAGCTCTCTTAAACCCTGTTCTGAATAAGTTAGTGAAATGTAATGTCAAAGGCGATAGAGTTCAAGTAAAAAAGGTCAAGCTGTCAGATAATTAATATAAGTCACGTTTTGTCTCACTGTTTTTTTGTGACACAAATGATAGTTACATGATATTCTCCAGAAATGAAGCGATAACATTTGACATTTGACCTCTTATGCCACGCGGTCTTACATAATCACCAACTGCTGGAGGAAATGCAAATTTTGTTGAATGAGGTTTTTGTAGATGCGTTTCATCCGTTAGGAGTTCATCGGAATGGGTTTGTTGACGTTGTTGTGACGGTACCTGCGTATGAATATACGTATGAGACGCTGGTAGCTCCAAGTCTTTCAAAGAAATTTTGAAACTACCAGCGTCTGTCGTTCATTCGCATGTGTAGCATCAACAAAACAGTATATATATATATATATATATATATATATATATATATATTACAGGTAATCGACCCGTTGGTATATAATCCGGTTGGATCCTAGTAATATTGCTGAAGGAAATGCAGATTTTAGGGGCTGATGATAGCCGCGTACAGAACTTCTATGTTGACGTAATTTTGTATTTTTTTTGTAATATATATATATATATATATATATATATATATATATATATATATTTTATGAATAAAAATGACAATAGGAAAACTGGTAATTGCTGACGCGTTTCGTCCAATGTGGACTTTATCAAAGCAAAATACGAAAATGAAATTAAATAAACAACGTAACTAATAAAAACAAAAACAGAATGTACCTAGCAACTGGAATGTAGAGAAACGCTATTTTCATATTTTTTAAATGAAAAATAACGTCCTATTGTCATTTTTATTCATAAATATTGTCTTCTCTACCGATTAAATCGGAGAAATTTTCATATATATATATATATATATATATATATATATATATATATATATATATATATAAATATATATCATACATAATTTTCTTTTTTATTTCTTGATACCAAAAATGTTTAGCAAAATTAATGACAAAGTGGAAGGAAATTCGATTGATAAGTTTCTTGCTTTAGGACTTCATTGAACTATAGTGAAGTTTCGTCTACTACCTTGAATAATTGACGCAAATAATACATTGGAGAATCTTCGAAGAATTTAAATAAAAGATTATACGAAGACAAAAGGGATCTTTCACAAAACAACTCACTATACATACATATATATATATATATATATATATATATATATATATATATATATATATATATAAATATATATATATATATGCCTGTTATTTGTCTGGGACATTAAGAAATAGACTTTCAACGTCTAATGAAGCTCGGATGCCATTATTTATTTTATCGCAGGACAATATTCGTGAGTGGATTTGACGGCATATTTACTAGGTAATTATGGCAGTATTGGTTTAGAATCTCATAGGTGTGGCGGAAGAAGATAGCAGGTGAGGCGGAAAGAAAATCAAACTTTTAGAAACTGTTTCAAAATATACATATGCCAAAAATAAATGTGATTTCAAAATTAAATAGTTATAAATAATTATTGACAGATTTTATCAGTGTGATATTTTTGCATTATATCAAGTATTAAGAATATAGTAACTAGTGTCGGCTAATTGGAGGAGAGAGTTATCAATGATAATGTTCTGACTGCGAATCAACGGTTATCTCCCTTTAACACACTCTCTGTTTTTCCATGTTTAAATAGACTTTTTATGACATAAAATCACGTGAAGGCGAGTAAATTTTCATTCTGAAAATGCGGCTAATAGAAAAAAAATGGGAACCACTGGTTCAGAGTTTTGGTTGAGTCATATACAGGAATTGGAATCTGTGAAATATGGCACGTCGCGGGTGTTATATATATATATATATATATATATATATATATATATATATATATATAGGATCATACATGAGTACACATTATACACAATATGTAAATCTTTATAAATGAACATGTATGCACACACATACAACAAAATATATGAAACTGAGTTTTAAATTAATTAAAAAAATGTGGTTTCTTGATTGCCTTACTTACCATCTCTACGGGTATATTTGTATGCATAACAAAACCTTCATCTAAGTCTTGCTGCACATAGTACTTGTTAAATGGTCCATCCAGAGCCTTGACCGCTTTATTGGCATTACCCACACCAGTGGTTCCTGTCCCGGACGCGTTGGTTAGAACGCTAATATTCCAACTTACGAAGCGCGTGAACTTTCTCGGCACGTGCGAAATGTCGGTGTAATAGAGTCGGAAGGCCAAACACTTACCGCTGGCATCTCCCTCTATCATCCACGCCTGCTTGTCTCTGTCGTAGCAGTGTGCACGATTGCAACCCTGGCCGAAGGCATCCATTGTTACCTCGCTGACCGACACCACTGACCTCATAATCACCTTCACCGGTATGCTGACGGTGCCTTGGGATAGTTCGTAAATCGAAGCCGCCACGATCAACGGGTCGCCAACGCCAGATGTGTCCAGTGTTTGCGTGATGAGGCCCGTTTGATACATGTCGTCTTCTCCGAGTGCAATTTCGTACTTAACGTTGCACAGATGGTCGAAACTTGTATGGCGATTAAGTTGCACGGCCGTCTTCCCTTCGTTGTAGTGGGTCCCGCTCGGGTTGAACAAGGAAACGCTCCAGTCGAAAACCCCGAACGAGAAATAAGGCGTCTCTAGTTTCTCGTTGACGCCAACCGAATGAGTGCCCTTTGGTAGAGTCAAGTCGAAGACGAATGTTGAGATCACGTTTCTAATCTCGAGCTCAACGAGAAATTCGCCGCTGTCCTGCATAAAGTTTCGCTTGCTCATATCCGACAATCCGATGAAGGTCTTACGGCCGTGCACGATGGTGTCCGGCGTGAAGTCGCAGTTCTTTTCCATAAACGACTCGTTCCTCGTGAAGTGGTCCTTGTTGAGGCACGTGAACGAGTAGTCGACGCGACACACGAGACCAGACGACGGTGTCAACAACTTCAGGTATGCCCCCAAGTGTTTTTCGCTCTTCACGAACGACACATTCCATTTGTGGTAACCGTACACGATTTCCGTGGAAAAAACGTCCGGAGAGAATTCACGCACCACTGATTTTGGTAAGGTGAATGTGAACACCTGAGCGTCGAAGCGGTCATTCAGTTTTACACAGCGGCACAATTTTGCCATATTGTTTTTTTTTTGTAATTTAGACTTTAGATGTTTTTCTTCCTTTCGAGATGTTCAAGTACCGTTGGAAATCTAAAACCTTTTAATTATCCAAATATAGAAAGCATGATCTTTCTCTTTTGAAGTGTAGATTTACTTTTCTTTTCGTATTTAAATCTTTTCTTGGTCTTCTCATTTGCTTAAATATTTTTTCTTTTCAACATTTTAAACACCGTTTTATCTTTTGTAAACATTCATTTTTAAAACTTGAAAATGTCAATGATGGATTTCATTTGCCATCTTGTTTTTCTCTTTTTTAACAGCTCTTTTCTTAATATGTAGATACGTATACTTACATATGTAAATATTTTTTTCAATTCACATATTTTGTTCTTTTAAAAAATGTTATTGTAATCTTATTCCGACATTAATGTCTCTTAACTGTCCTCACGTTGCTTTTCGTGTGAGAAACGATGGAAAATAGTTTCATTTCGGCGTTTTTTTCTTCATCTTTTGAATCAGTCGGAGTTTTGAATCTTTTCTGTCAGTCATTTAATCTAGAAAAAGAAAAGAAAAAGCATAGAAAAGATGAATAAATTGCAAGACAAATAGAAAAAAATCAAATTAATTTCAATTAAGAAGAAATTTTATATATAAAGCAGTTATTTCTCATATGCCTACTTGAGATTAAAGAGACATTTTTGTGCAACTTGTTTCGTTAACATGACATGAAATAAATGTTTAATAATGGAAAAGAATTCTGCCATAATATATTTTTTGTATATAACAAAAATCACTTACGATTTATATAAAAAGGAGAAATAATTGTAAGTAAATGGAAAGTATTAATTTTTTTAATATCTTTTGTAAAAATAGCTCAAAATATTAATCCATCTTAAACATTTTATATCATTAACCAGTTGACAAAAATGGTGGAAAATATCAAAAACTTTATTTGGCTCTGTTTTTTCTTAAACAACATTCTATTCAATATTGAATAATTATGATTTTTGCATCACCATTAATTTAGTATTACTCACACACATATATTGGTGTATGTGGGTGTCAGTTTTATAGGAGAATAGAAAGCAAAAGTAATTCAGTGTCTTGGTTCATCTGGATTAATTCTAAGTAAGGAAGCATGTTTGCCTTGTATCTGTCACTCATGTCATGTCACTAGCGACCAGACAGTTGTTTATTTGTAATGGCTGCGATACAGGAGGCGATGATAAACGAAAAAAACAAAAACAAAAAAAAAAACAAAAAACAAAAAACAAAAACAAAAAACAAAAGACAAAAAAGAGAAACATATTAAAATGGAGTAAACTTTCAAAAATATTTGCATTTCGTTTGCAAAACGAAGTTAACAGACAGTTTTTAATTATGACACCCGAATAAAAAGAAACAACAAATAAACAGACGAACAGACAGAAGAATACAAAACAAATAAAAAATACAACAAAAATAGAAAAGAACCGACCCCTGAAAAACAAACAAAAAAACGTAACACCACGGGACTGGAGAGAGACATTTTTATGTGACATATTAGAAAATAAATAAATAAAACAGGCCAAGACATAAATTCACGTTTTTTTTATTGTCCTTTCTCCTCACTAACATTTTCTTATTTTCATTCATTCTCGGTAACTTCTTGCGCCTCAGTGGCTTTATCGTCTTGTTTGGGGTAAAATGATTAAAAAATAAGTAAAGAATTAAAGTCTATGTATCTCAGTATATTTATCTTTCTATCTTAACCTGTTTCTATCTATCTATCTATCTATCTATCTATCTATCTATCTATCTATCTATCTATCTATCTATCTCCGATTACTACTTTCTAAATATTTATCTTAGTTTGTCCTTCTGCTTAGTAGGTGTGACAGTTGCGTATTCCAGTAATTTTAGTCGATTATGTAGGTATGTCATGCATTGGTTTTCAATGCATGACATACCTACCCTTACTTGAGAAAAACCCAATTTTGCTATTTCACTGTCACTGAATACTTGTAAAATCTACAACATCTGCTTGTTATAAATAGCGATTCATCTGTATACACGCGTAAATGGCAGAGAAAATTTTAATTAATGAAACTAGAGAATTATGTTTTAATTATTTATGATTTAATGGCAGACTCCAAATTCATTAAGAAAAATAATTAAAAAACAGACAATAATGAATTAGTCTCAAACTTCTTCAAAATTTGATACACACACACAACACATACACACACACGTACAAACACACACACACACACACACACACATATATATATATATATATATATATGTATGGGTTTGTGATTGTGTGTACAATTTATATGCGGCAGACACATGAAAACACGAGAACAAAGTTTATAGACGGATGTATAAAGATGCATGCAACACTTGGTGAGGTGCACAATGCCCCGTGGGCACGGGATTTCAGTCTTTAGACGTTTTTGTCTTTTTGTCAAAAAAAAAAAAAAACTTATAAAAATTTAATATATTTTGTTAAAGTTTTCAATACATGTCTAGACACTTTTTGCCCAAACTCGCGTATTAATATCCTGTTTCATAAACACAAGTATAACATATATGAGGTGTACGCATAGACACATTCACACACAAACACATGAATACACATATACACGTATATGTATATAAAATCTATATTAATATATGTGTGTATGGTGTGTGTGTACATATCAGTATGTATTTCGATATCTATCTATATATATATATCTATATATATACCTATATGAATATAAGAGTATATGAGCTTCTATAACGTTGAATGTATGCACACACACACATATGTATGTATGTATGTATGTATATGGTTGAAATTGCCAAAGACTTAAGTTGTTAAATCTGAAAGAAAAAGAAAAAAAATCATTAGACGCTTAAACTTAATTCACATTTAAAATCGGTCCAAGTTATTGGAACACTCTACACACACACACACACACACACACACACACACACACATACATATATATATATATATTGTTAAGAGTGCTCAATATCAGGGATAGACCGTTTATATATATATATATATATATATATATATATATAATGGTCATACGAATCTTCATTGCATAGTGAGTGATGGTTTAACGACTAAATATGATCTTCCGATCTAGGTTGCAATGTGAAACTGTCAGTCACCATGCAGCGTTGATTCATATGATCTCTCAATCTTCTTCTCTCTTTATATATATATGCTTCAATGCACGTGCTCACATACATGTATACACGCACACACGCACTCCACATCTATCTATCTATCTATCTATCTATCTATCTATCTATCTATCTATCTGATTCTCCCGATTACTGGCGACTCTGTAATAGTGCAAGGTCTCTATTCCCCCCTCTTCAATCAATATGAGGTATTGTCATCCCCCACTGACAAAGCTGCTGAGAGCTTTGCCCATAAATTCTCCTCAACGCTACTCTTGACTCATCCAGAATCAAGATAACGGATATATACATACAAGTTGTGATGTGTAAATTGTTGCCATTTTATATTTTTCATTTCGCGCATGCGCTTTGTTTGTTTTTGATTTTGTCGACTGCACAGTATGGTAGGGTCAGTTGGGCACCGGCTGCAAGAAAAAAAGAGCTCCATGTCTCAATTCACTCCTTCAGAAATTTCGAAACGATTTGCTGTTTTGCTTGGCATTCGTGCCGGAAACTCCATTACGACCATTTCAGAGTATTTGGGCGTCAATCTGAGGACAGTGCAGAGGATTCAGAAAGAGTTGGATGAGTGTAATGGTGATTACGAAGGTGTTTGGAGTGATCACTAATGATGGTGACGTTTTGCCTCCATTCATTTTCTACAGGGCGTCAGACTCACACGGAGGCATACATCAAGTGCCTTGTGAAGGTAGTGCTGCTCTGAGTCAACAGGGTGACTGATGGAAGACCCTATGTCTGGCAATTGAATGCTGCACCATTCCATACTGGCAGCAGAACCCAGTCATGTCTGTCAAACAATTTCTGCGAAACACCACGCCTTACATCTGGACACCTAACTCCCCAGACTTCAACACCCTTAATTTATTAATGTGTGCGGTGGTGTTGAGCGAGGGACAAAAACAAAACTCGTTGTAACACCAAATCTGACCTGAAGGCAAGGATTATATGGCAGCATTCCCCAATTTAAACAAGGAGACCGCCCAGAATAGGTGCAGGGGACGGTGATTGAAGCCAATGGCAATTTTATTGAATAAATTTACTCTTTAGTATTTCAAGATATTTTGTGTAATTTTGATATCTCTTAAAATGAGATGTCAGTGTTATTTTCATTTTTGCGCAATTTAGACGACAATTTATCCTTCGCACCATGTATATGATAAAAATATAGTTTTAAGTATGCCATTTATGGGTAAAGTGCTCAATATCAGAGATGGGTATATATATATATATATATATATATATATATATATATATATATATATATATATATATAAAAGTAGATATGGAGATCAACACCGAGAGGTTACAGTCTGTTACAAGATTGAACACAATATTTAGACCTGAAGATTTCATTCAAACAAGTATCAGTCTGTCGCCACTCGGTGTTGACCTCTACTGATATGCATATTCGAATATGATTTATTCGAATCCTTCTTTTCGCTTGTCCAATTCCATTTTTGTAGAAACCGTAATGTTTTTCTTCAAGAACTTTCAAGAATCATCGGTAATACCATTCCTGCTATAGAGAAACGTTTTTATTATCTTCAGTCTGACGTTAATAATCTGATTTATATATATATATATATGTGCATCGAGTGCGTGTAATGTTATGCGTAGAAAGGTTTGTAATTATATTTTAATTATTTTTTATCCTTGCTTCGTTGCATTCTAAATGTTCTTTCCCTAATGTCTCTGTCGAAGAATCTCCTATTCTTTATTTTAAATCATTTCTCCCACCCAAAGACAATAAAGCCACTAAGACACAAGAGGTTACTGAATGTTAGAGAACATGAAAAAAAACAAAACATTTCGAACAATGAAAGAAGATATAAAAATGTAATGTAAAATAATGAGACCTTGCTGCCAATCTAGTACTGCGCTTAAATTCATGAAGTCCAGGTACCATAGAAGAAAGTTAAACAGAAAAATTACCATAAAGTATTTATAGAAAGGGACGATGAACTTACGTTACCGCGGTGGGTAAGCGACTGAAGCCGAGATGCCAGGTCAGAACCAATAATTTTGCAAATTCGTTTTTCTATTTAATCAAGAATCTTTAAATACATGGCAGAAGCACCAGAATTAATGCGTTAATATAAAATATAGACAAATACTCTCGAATCTCGCCTCTTAATATTAAATAATCATTTCTATGTAAATCTACTTTATCCATTACTCCACAAATAATTTTCTATGGCTGTTATAGTCACATTTATACATAGACTGATGCTGTAACTATGGAGTCACCTCTCAGTCCTATTCTAATGTCTGCAATTCCCACATAAAGAACAATTTTTTTTAATCTATGAAATAGTTTCGATATACTAAAGACATATACAGAAGAAAAAAAAAAGACATAAAGGAAGCTTCGAGAAAAACCCTACAGTACAATTTTTTTTTAATTGTTTCACCCCAAGCAAGGCCGGAAGCCACCAGGACGCAAGGGGGTTACAGAAAATTTGGAGCAAGATCAGATAGGAGTGATAGAAGAAAGGATGAGGATAGAAGATAGAGGAGTGATAGAAGAAAGGATAGTGGATAGATCAAAGCAATTGGAGATGTCGATTGACATTACATTTGAATAGCTCTCAGGGAAACTGGAATAGGGAACAGGCGAGAGGTGCGAGACATGAAGATATTGGAGTAGAAGAGACGGCTACATTTAGGAGTTTCGACAGTGAAAGGGTGAGAGCGGGATGCCAGCTTCGTATGGTGCTTGAACTCATAAAGTCTGGGAACCAGCGAATGCAGCTCCTCGGAGCAATTGCCATGAAAGTATTTGTAAAACAGACAGAGAGAGACGACGGCGCGTCTGTGAGAAAGTGACTGTAGACGAGATGCCAGAGCAGGGCCAATTATATTGCATATCCGCCTCTGGAGCCTATCAAGAACCCCGAGGCTTCCCCGTTATTTTGAAGAGCTTGGTAGACAGTTTCAGTGATGTCCATAATCACATCAGCTGTAGATCGGGCAAAGCGGAAGCCATATTGCTTGTCTGAGAGCAGATCATGGGATGTGAGGTTGTTAACCACTTCGGTATTGATTAGGGCTTCTTTGCCGATCAGGGGTAGGAGACTGATAGGGCGGTAGTTAGAAGGATCAGAGGGGTCGCCAGAGTTCTTGAAGACAGGAACAATCGAAGAGAACTTCCATCAGTCAGGAAAACAAGATTCCTTGAGGCAATAGTTATATAGTTTGGAGAGGTCGGGCGCCAGTTCAGGCGCGCATTTCTTCAAGACAATGGCTGGTATCCCATCTCCACCACTAGCCTTGTTGGGGTCTAAATTGGAGATAATGCCCAATACCAAAGACGGGGTTATGTGTAACCCACTCAATAGGGCCTCAGTTCTAAGAGGGAGGTCGGGTATGGGTACACCGGAAGAGTCGAGCGTTGAGTTGAATGAAAATTTCCGAGCAAAGCATTCAGCCTTGTCGGCAGAGGAGGTCAGTTTATTTATGAAATTAACATTTATGATAAAATTCCTTTCCTTGTTGGATCCTAATAGCCATATGTTTAGTATTTTTCTTTCTAAAAATCCCACAGACAAAATTCTTGCCTACTTAATTATCAAGCTGAATGTTTTTACATATATAAAATATCTTATAAACAATATGGCGAACCGTGTTAAAATAATTTCTTCTTTAGATACATTAGTTTATAAAGTATTGAGCAGCATAAAAAAAAACATTTATGAAAAATAATTTCTCCAGATCATTTCGCAGATGTGCAAATAAAATTAACTTTAAAGAATATTATATGAATTAGCAGTAGTTGAAATCCTGATATAAACAAAAAAAAAAAAAAAAAACAAAAAACAACACATTATTCATTTATTCTATTGTAACCAGATTTTCCCCAGCTCTAAACGAGATTTTAAAAAAGCTATATATAGGCGCCGGTACATAGCATCTAACATTTATCATTTACTACAATATTCTTAAAACATCGACACGGTGTTATTCGTCCTCAAGGATGCGCTACGACATTGCTCGGGCCACGTGAACAAAATGATATATATTGGTGAATTATAGACATATTTATTGGTCAATACCAATTTTTCTTTGAGGCCTTATCATAATATCTATAATCCTCACAGCATATAGTATTATTTTCAAGAATAATGCCATTCAAAACTACTAACATACAGTTAGGTAACGAGTAATTGTTTCAACGAATAAATATTTTACCAGTTCTTAAAAAAATAGGCAGTGTTTGTGATCAATCATCCAGCTGTGGACAAGTAGCCATTTCAACTCAATGTCGCTAATGTTTTTTCTCTCACAGATCTGAAAGTTTCGAATATTGTCTGACGAAAAAATAAATAAATAATAAAAGATGAGGATAGGATTTTAATGAAATTTGTTTATTTTTGCAAAGAAAATTTTGAAAGAAAAGTTCGTGGAAAATGTTTTTAATTTAGTCGACTCCACTTTATTTAATTTCGTAAAAATATACTAGTTTTTACTTATTTATTTACACTATTTACATCGTTCAGACTGATGCTCTCATCTTTATTGACATATTCATGACGTTTCAACTGTTCTACTATCCGGCCTTCTTCAGGCGATATACGAAATTACAGCGTATATTATCTGATGAAGGCCGGAGTATACAACGGTCAAAATGTCTTCATATGACAATAAATATAAGGTCAACGGTCCAAACGCTGTAAATAGTTAAAATACCTCATCTCAGAAATATAGACAGATTTTACTTATTTATATTTATAAAGATAAATTCCCTGATAATTTAAGTCAGTTTGTTTTTTTCCAAAAGAGAATCGTCAATTTTAAAATATTGCTCTATATTCTGAACAAATGACCTTCATTCTTATTTGTTTATATTTTATTTTCTTTTTAAATTTTAATAAAGCTGTAACTTCTGGGACCGCGAAAAAATATTCAATGAAAATGTTTTTTTTTTAAAGTTTTTCATATTTTCATTAAGAATCAAATAAAAGTTTTTAACATTTTATAAATGTTTATTTTTATTTATTCTCCGGTAAAATGTTCGACATTTGTGTTATTTAATATTTAATCGAAAATTACACAGTTTAACGATATTCTCTAAACTGGTGAGTGTTTAATTAATTATTGAAAATTGTTTACGTACAATTGTT